AACGTTCATTGTTGCCGGGACCATGTAACATTGATCTGTAGGTTGTAAGATGTTTATCCAATTTATGATCTGAGTCAAATGTCTGCGTAAAAACATCTTGGCTTTCATATGCTTCTTCCTGTTCTTCGTCTTCTTTCTGTTCTTCATCTTCTTTTTGCTTACTCTTAGACGAAAGCACTTGATATACAGGTAAGCTAAAGCGTCCCACACTGTATTTATCGTTATCTTCATGGATCCGAGCGTTTTGATCATTGGAACTGGGTGTCGATGCCAATCTACGGGATAGATGGTGTTGTTGTTTCTGATGAAGAGTATAAACGTCAATGAGGTGACTTTTTTATAAGAAATAATAAACCCGTTGAGAAGTACCTGTAAGGAAGGAAAAACATGTTGTAAAGATCTTGCTCTCCGCCTTCCTGCACCATTACATTGATTTGTCTCCAAATCTAGAAAAAAAGGAGTATTCATAAAAACCTTTTTTATTCATAAATTAGTAAACAAAAAAAAATCGACTTACCTCGACTATCGTCCATGTCTGTTTCAGACGAAGATACATTGAAAGTGGGGAAGGTAGAGTTACTCATATTGCACATTCACGAGAATATTGAGTATAGTTGAAGAAGCGGTGATTTAATGATCAAATAATAACGATGGGTAAGAAATATGCGAATCACAGAATTTATAGTAACAATCAGGTCATACGATTACATCATGCATGAAAAGTTCCATAATCTTCGATTTTATTCTGCGATATCACATGCGATATGTTGATCGAACATCAGTGTTACGCAATCGATTTTTCAGACATGTGATTTTATATGTTTAAAAACGAAATTAATTTTATATGATTCTAAATATTGTAGGTCGAAGCCCATTGCAAGGCGATAGATAGAAATGTGGGGTAGAGACGTTTAAAGGGAGGAATAAAGCATAAATGCCCGCCGGATCCTAAGCCTTTTACATAGTAAAAATAGCGGTTCCTTTCCCTACCCCGCACTAGCTATCGTCATTTATTTCTTCATCCTCCTCACTTTCCGGTTCAGTATCTATCTCTCCATTCTGTTTTGATATCCATAACTTTAATGAATCCAGCGTATCTTCTTTCGGGTTTTTAGTCAATTTTTTATGAAAGTTTCTAATGGTGGCATCACTGATCGCTATCCCCTTCTTATGATTGATAACAAGTACCCGGATTTCCTCAGCTACCCCGCCTTCTCGCAGTAACTGCTCGAAGCCAGAAAAAAGCAGATAACATATGCATCTTTTTTCCGAGAAATAAAGAGGAAAAACGGAGATCGGAAATAGTGCCAGTATAATTTTGAGGCGATTTGGATGTGCCAGATCCGGCATTACTACTTCTTGCGACCCCATCTCGAACTTCGCGAATGTCATAACCAAGATGTTTTACGGTTTCAGATAAACCAGAGATAATTTTTTGTTGTTTTTTGAGTGAGGCAGTCATTTTCGCGTCGAATCGCTTTTCAGTGTTCCCAGAATTGTATCTGGTTACGATATATAGAAATAATGTTTGAACGAACATAATGATGGCGAGTAGTAAAAAATCGGAAGTTAATGAGAACATTTTGAATCCAATGCTGGGTTTTTTTACGATTTTGCGTTATTGAGATGATGGCAAAGTGTTTGTAAAGAGATTTGTGAGATTTGACCCGCGACATAGTGTGTTTTTTATATCAGGTCCAGACTACAGAATATGAATATGTAACATTAGCGAACGCGATCATAATAACCAGTGAAATGAATCCAATTATGACTCGGCACATCCTAAGTAACTAATTCGTCGCTTTATTATGAATTCGAACGCAAAACAACATTCGTGTTGGGTATTTTATTACGGTTAATGAGCTAACTACCTCAGCTAATACATATAAATGAATTAGGAATCGAAATCGAGCTAACTCGTGATTGACAATTCCGGATCATCTCTAACATGATTCGTTCACAATATTTGTAGATCATTTCACAGATACTCGGGTTTTCAGTAATCGAAAAACACGTAACATTTTTATCAGTAATAAATTCTCGATCACTTTTCTTTATTTAATAAAAATAGTACAGTTATGACCTTCTATGAGCCTGCTGTATACATGTGGATCTATCCGCTATTTTTTGATAATTTTTTAATTCTAGCCCTTTTACTGGCAGGAGAGTTATCGACCGTTATCCTATCTTTTAATAGCCCAACAATAACACCTAACACCCTTTTTACCCCTTTTTTGATTGATTCGATATCTTCTTTCAATGCCGTTTTGGAGAGATTTATCTGGTATTCGCTTTTACTCGTACAATAGAGCCCATCGGTAGCAAAAACGATGAAATGCCATTCCGTAGCTAAAAATAAATTTGTAAATCGGTTGTAGCATAGTCAAAATTTCTATTGCGGGAATTATAAGATATAAATACCTGTAGATACTATTCCATAGAGATAATCATAATCATCATCTCGAAATGCTTGATCCGCCGTGCGTTTTTTCTTATTTATATGGTACGCACTCTCTAGTTGCATGATATTCTGGAGGTAACCAATTTCGACGTTACGGGGTTTCCCTTCAGCTATACACATAAGATCTTCGTTTCCTTTTATTGCATAATCGACACGACCAGATGTCTCTTCACCGGAAACTGCTTTTTGATATGCTAGGTAGATTTTTTCTTCATTGGTAAGTCTTCGAACGATAGCCAGAGATGCGTTTAATATCGACGTAATAAATACACAACGCGTTGCTTCGTTAGCATTAGTCTGCATTGTTTCCAGATTCGAAAGTCTTAGCGTAATTTCATTCATACACTGCTCAAGTGCTTTGTCGTTGTCATCGATTTCCTCGAAAACTATAACAGAAAAAAAGTTAGAATATAACTTATGTTTGATCGTTCCCCAAGGGAACGGTTTTTGCCAAGAAATTTGCGAGACGGCTCATCCCGGAAAATGAAATGCCAAGAAAAAATACCACATACCCGGATTGAATTGCTTGATATTCGTTATATCCTCCCCATTGACTTTATATTTGCGGGGCACGTCTTTTAATTCATCCAGCGTTTTGTATGACGAGAAACTTCGTATCTTTTGTTCGGTAATCTCTTCAATAAAATCTACAAGAACGGTTACAGTCCCACCCTTCAAGCCATAACTGAGAAATTTTTCTTCTGTAGTCACGACCGGTGATCTCTTCCTGCCGAAAAATCTTGAAATGGGATTCTTTCAGATCTAAATCTTGCCTCCGCAAATAGTCGATAAGTTCCTCCGTCTTATATTTTTTAACAACGTCCGCCATCGTACGAGTTGACCTTTCTTCCGTCAAAGTAGAGGATGTGGAAATTGGTGAGGAAGGTGAAGAAACGCTGGATGAAGACATGTTATTTTTATACGTGGAAATTTGCAAAATCTGGTTTATGTATCTCACTAATAATGCAAGTGAGAATGAAAAAATTTATCGTATCCGTTTTTGGATAATCGGTGGTTTATATTTGTGAGAGGTTACATAAACAGATCAAGAGATAATATACACGATGAAACCGCTGAAATTACGCCTAACGCGTTGTTATTTTTTTATTACGAAAAAACTTACCCGTGGTAAAGCAGATATAAAAAATAAATTTACGAATATATATCGTCGTTACAAATATACATTCTGCTTAGGATTCCACAAGAATATGAATAACACCTGTGGGAGGATCTCCATTGAAATAATCGGAAATCAAAGTCTGCGGTTGCACAACTCTGTATTTTACAGGTCCGGGGTGAAATGCACGAATAATAAAAGGGACATTTTTAAATTGAGGTGGCAACTAATTCCGAATTTCAGTTTCAAGATCATCGTCTCTCGACCCGCTCGGAATTGTAATTGTTTGAATAACAGCATCTCTTGGAAGACCAATGAATGCGTGAACGGGACTAATAAGACATTCGAGATTAATAGTACCCATTATTGCGTTTCCTAAATATAAAATCCATAGTGAGTGAAAATTTAGCTTTCGTAGGTATTTACCGTAAACAATCATACCTTTAGCGTAAGTTAATACAAAGTGTTAAAAATTCGTGGAAAGACATTGTACGGGATATGAAGTATCCTAAGAAATAAAGCCTCCCTAAAGCCTGCTTATTTATATACCCCCCTTCGAACCTGCTAGAAGAAAACCAATATTGCGTCGTTCGGAGGATCGGTCGTATGATTTCGAAAATTAACGGATTTCTTACCTTGTCTAGCTAGCCCATAAATGCCAAGAATCCAGCAAAGAAGAGATGCATAACCATATTTCGCAATTTCGGGGGGATGAGATCCCTTTATGTTCGAGATCGCTCCTGCAAGACGGAGCTTGTTAATACAATGACGATCTCTGAAACCCCAACACTCCATAACTTGGGGTTTTTGATATGAAAGCTAATAGAGAATGTCGAGCTTTTCCCCTATAACCTTCTCAGGTCTCGTTTTCGCATGTCCTTATCGCAAAAGCATGTGTGAAAGAAAGACATTTTCTATGTAAAATAAGCGAAAAAAATAACGATTATCTATGTAGTACAGTTACGCAATTACGCATGTTCCACGAACTTCTACACTGATCTTTGATTCGCGAATTTAAAACACATGACATCGCTCCCTGAGGCTGTTTTTTCCAGTTCCGGAGGCCCCGAAAACAAGACCGGAGGAAACCGGTTACCCCCATTATAACGTGACATAGTGAATATAGTTTATTACGTATCAGACAATCCAGAATCGGACTGTTCGTATGATGAATCGTATACTTGGATTGAGTCGTTTTACTACTTTTTCACTAATATTTTCACAACTATCCAAATCAAGATATTTTAAATTAGGACACGAACGGGCTATTTCTTCGATTGTTTTATCACAAAATCCAAGTTTAAGATGCTGAAGTTTAGGACAAGAACGAATAACATTGCATATCGATGGTTCGGTAATGAAATCACACCCTCCAAGATCAAGATATTCTATTTCGTGGCATGTATGAGCTAGTGCCTCAACAACCTCATCGCCGACATCATTATGGGAAATATTGAAATGTTTTAAATTTGGAGAAGACCTGATAATAGCTACAATAAGAAAATCGTTTCGAAAAGCCATAACCCCGGCGAAATCGAGATATTCTATTTTGAGATGTGCTTGTATTATCATATCAGCATCTTTGATTTTTCCACGACTAGCCGGTATACCTAAGCATCGTAAATTAGAGCATGAGTTTAAAATACAACTTACAGTTCTATCAGTAATCCAATGCGCTTCATTAAAATAAAACTCTCTCAAATTACGACACGATTCCGCAATTGCTATCAATGATTTATCGGTAATACCTCTACAGTAAGAAATATTTAGATATTCCAATTTATAGCATGATTGTGCAATTTGACATAGTCCTTCATCAGTTATCGATTATCCCATAAATTAAGATGTTTTAAATTTGGATATGATGAAGCTATTCTAATTAATGTCTTATCACTAATGCCCACGCTTTTTTTAAAGTCTAAATGAATTATATTTGGGCAGTAATTTATGATAGATCTAATTAATGTATATGTAATTGAATGATAATGTGAAATTTTTAAGTTTTTCAAGTTTGAGGCATAAACTGGTTTTTTCTCCCGCATATTAATTTTATGAAACATTCTAACCACGTTCGATATCGTTCACAATAATTATATTCAACTGGAAAATAATGTTCATAACGGATATCATTACCTTTTAACTCATAGTAGTGGTACACCACACTTGTACCAAAGATGGTTAACAAATAAAGCAGAGTATAGGGAATGATCAATTTCTAAAAATATAAGATCTGTTCTAGTAATTCTGGTAAATCAAAAATATTTAGACTCTTTGGGTCTTTGCTCCACAATAGTTGTACCATTCTTAAATTGTATATTATATATCTCTAATCAGAAAAAATAGCTAATATTTGGATAATTAATTTAGGCGCATTTTTAAATTCATATTTATAAAATAATTTAACTATTACGATAGCTGAAGCTGAAGCTGATAATCCTGAGACAATGCAAAGTGTCTGTAAAAAATTTGAAGCAATATTAAAGCAACAGAGTGTAATTGATTCAGATTCAGAATGTCCAATTATTACTTATGAGATTGCAAAAAAATTGAGTTTTGAAAAAGATAAAAATTTACCCAATATTACTGATAAAACAGTATCTGACATTGTTAAACAAGTATTAGGTAAAAAAATCTGGATATCTCTTTACCTATTACTGGAGATAGTGAAATCTGAAATTGGACTAGAGATTATTAACTTAATAGCAAATCCAGATATTTCTTGAAGAAATCATACACCATGCAAGGCTAAAAGAAAAAAGAAAATTTTAAATAATACTGCATCTTCATCCTCATTCTCGTCTTCATTTGGATTTGGATCTGACTCTGAATCATCTAGCTACGAAGTGATTACCTCCAGCAATGATGATAAAGATTTTACTATAAA